TCCTTTAAATCCAGACTAAAAACCGTCTTCTTTAGAAGAGCCTTTACTTAACTGGTTCCATTCTCTACCCCTCTGCTCCTACTGTATTTAGGACCACCATCCATGGTCTTCTCTGTGTATTGTAATTGTGTTTTATCTTGTGTATTCTTTATTTATTGCTGTCATTCTGTTTTACCTTTTAAGGCGCTATATAAAATAACGTTTTTTAATATTATTATTAAAAGATACCTCAGTTAGAAACGTCTTTCCTGCTTCAGATGCATTTTTATGGATAGGGATATAGGCTCCCATTTATTTTGTGGCATCTGGGTTGCAGAGAAAGAGATTTAACCCCGGCATCCTGGCTAAACTTCCCATTGGCCCTTACCAATCACGGCCTCCTAATAATCCCCATCAACGAATTGGCTTCATTACTCTGCTCTCCTCCCCACTGATAGCTGGTGTGTGGTGAGCATTCTGGCGCACTATGGCTGCCGTCGCATCATCCAGGTGGATGCTGCACATTGGTAGTGGTGGAGGGGATCCCCATTACCTGTAAAGCGCTTTGAGTGGAGTGTCCAGAAAAAGCGCTATATAAGTTTAAGCAATTATTATTATTATATTTAACAGCAGGTTACATTGTATTAAGTTAGACAGCAGCTTATCTATTATGCAGCCTTGGTAGGCATTAAGAGATTACTGCTTAGTAGCGGTCTGGGGTTTTCTGGGTGACCAGAATGTTTGGCCTCTGAACCACCTTGTTTGTAAATACTGTACATAGACTTTGTCCTCTCAACAAAGCTGTGCCAGAGAAAAAAGAATTCACGTGCCTGAAATTATACCAGCTGCTCGGTTATATTCTGGAAAAAGCACTTACAGGTTGGGGGTTATGAAGAATTATTTCACTTATTGACTAAACCACTTGGCCAAATCCTGATTTTCACCATTTTTGTTACCCCCCATTTGTAAAAAAATATTAAGACGTTTAAAGTAATACAGCAAGTAAAAGTACTTTTAAATATTTTTTTTAATTGAATTATCTGTATTTTTGTGTCAATGCAGTGATCAGCTATCTGCAAAGTCAGCTAGTGTAAAAACCAGTGTGAGAGAAATGTTGCGTAGTTGAACAAGTGTGAACAAACATATTGTGAAATTTCACCATGACATTTACCTTTACTTATTCCAGTGCATGCAAGATTGTGGTTCTCTCTCATTTACATATCCAATTCTATTAGAAGAATGTATTAAATTTATATTTTAAAATCCAGCAACCATATCACTCTGCAGCCCTGGAGCAGCTGGGATGAAGGGCCTTGCTCAGGGACCCAACGGAGTAGGATTCCTCTGCTGGCTGCGGGATTTGAACCGGCAACCTTCCAGCCACAGGCGCAGATCCTGAGCCACAGAGCCACTGCCTCCGCCCGTGTGGTTTTGATCCTCGCTTTGATGGACCCCGACTCCTACCAAGTATTCCCCCCTGTGCTTTAACTTCCCTGGACCTCGCTCTTGCTTCACTTCTCTTGCAGTCACCTTCTGCACTTTGGACTGTTGGTCTCTCCCCGCTGGCTTTGACCCCTGCCTGCTCGACCACGATCTCAGACTATGCTTACTTCCTTGTTTTCCGTCTTGCACAGGATGCTGTCTGTCTGTGTGCACTGCTGCGCTTCCCTGAGGCCCGAGCTGGCTGCAGCAGCACTCCGTCCGCACAGCTCCTAGTCTCCACGCTGCCATGTGGGTTTCCCTGTCTCAGCTGCCTCTCACCCAGCACGGAGGTTCCCTCTACTCCTCAATCTTCACTGCTAGTTCTTCCTCAGGAGTGCAACTTACTTTTCAGGATTGTTCACTTGAATACATGTCAAATGTATTTAACAGTATTGAGATGTTTAAAGTAATACAGCAAGTAAAATTATTTTTAAATTTTATCTGTATTTTTGTGTCAATGCAGTCACCAGTTATCTGCAAAGTCAGTTAGCTTAAAACTTAGAGAAGAGTGTCTGCGTGCAGACAATGTGTTGACCAGTGTGGTCAGTCAGTCAGCTCACAAACTGAAGTGAGAAATGTTGTGGAGTGTTAGCGAAATCATTGTGTTTACAGTCTTTGAAGTGTGAACAAACATAACATTGTGAAATTTCACCATGACATTTACCTTTACGTATTCCAATGCATGTAAAATTGTGGTTCTCTGTCATTTACATATCCAATTCTATTAGAAGAATGTATTAAATTTATATTTTAAAATCCAGCAACCATATCACTCTGCAGCTTACAACTGGCAGCCCACTGAAGCTCAGCAGGTGTAAGCCTGGTCAGTACCTGGATGGGAGACCTCCTGGGAAAATCTAAGGTTGCTGCTGGAAGAGGTGTTAGGGGGGCCAGCAGGGAGCGCTAACCCTGCGGCTCATGTGGGTCCTAATGCCCCAGTGTAGTGATGGGGACAAAATACTGTTAACAGGTGCTGTCCTTCGCATGACACATAAAACCGAGGTAATGACTCTCTGTTGTCATTAAAAATCCCAGGGTGTTTCTCGAAAACAGTAGGGGTGTAACCCCGGTGTCCTGGCCAAATTTCCCATTGGCCCTTACCAATCATGGCCTCCTAATAATCCCCCTCTATGAATTGGCTTCATTACTCTGCTCTCCTCCCCGGTGTTAGTTGGTGTGTAGTGAGCGTTCTGGCGCACTATGACTGCCTTTGCATCATCCAGGTGGGGCTGCACATTGGTGGTGGTGGAGGGGATCCCCATTACCCGTAAAGCGCTTTGAGAGGAGTGTCCAGAAAAGCACTATATAAGTGTAAGCAATTATTATTATAAAAAATAATAATGCTCAAACATAATCTTCATATTTGACTTGTTCTTTGCTAAATATTTTCACAAGATGAATTTAGCTAAGTTTTAACTTCACACATGGCATCTTCCACAATTTAAGCTAATAAATATTTTATAAAAAAGACTATGATATTGTTACAAATGGGGGTTACGAATCTGATGAAAATTAGTATTTGACCGTGCAGTTTAGTCAATCAGTGAAATAATTATTAATAACCTCCAGCTTGTATGTGATTTCTAACCATATTCCCGACTGGCTGGTATAATTAGAGGCACATGAATTATTTATTCTCTGGCACAGCTTTGTTGAGAGGGGTAATAATCCAGGCACACTTGGTTAAAACAAATATTACAATAAAGTGCGCAAGACACAAAACATACAACAAAGTTACATTATATACAGTACTTACAGACAAGGCGTTTCAGAAGCCGAACATTCTGGTCACCCAGAAAACCCCAGACTGCTACTAAGCACTAAACTCTTAATATGCCTACAGAGGCCACATAAGAGATGAGCTGCCTTCTAACTGAATACAAAGCAACCTGCAGTTAACTCTCTCTCTCTGTACCCTGGATGCCATAAAATAAATGGGAGCCTATATCTCTATCCATAAAATGCACCCTAATAAGGAAAGATATTTTTAACTGAGGTATCTTTTACCCTGGAAACTCAAGTTATTTATAATAAATGCTTTCACTTATATAGTGCTGTTCTGGACACTCCATTCAAAGCGCTTTACAGGTAATGG